TGTGGATCCAGAGTGCCTCTGAGCATACGTTCACATCTAGCATTTTCTGTCCTGGAATTGAACCCAGCCCTTTCCCCCTTGCAAACACGTCCCCAGATTCTCCCCAACCTTCATCTCCAAAAGGGGGAGTGGAGAAACCTTTTTACTGCTGCTCACGCTGGACGGAGCAACCTCTTGGTGACCCACAGCCCAACCCTTGGAGACCCACCAGCAGGTTAAGAAGTCCAGTTGTCCACCTCCTCCCCGGCCTTGGTGCCTGTAGCTTTTAGTGATGGCTTGATGGATGACATTCGTAGGCGATTAATGCATATTCCTGCCAGAAAGCCGTGAAGATATCATTCCTTCCCGCTGAGTGGGAAACTATTTGCAAAGAATCAGGGCGCTTTCAAGGAGAAGTCTGAGCTGTTCTGGGTCTCTCGCCCATCATCTGTTGGAAGTTCTTTGGCTCAGATTTCCACCCGAAAGCGTGGCCTGGTTACTTGGCAGTCAGGCCGCCTCTGGCCACCGGCTATCTCCAAGCAATAGCCACCTGTGTCTTCTTTGGAGCTCGGGGGACGAGGTTTCTGCCAATTTGCTTCCCTTTCAAAAATGGAGATTTGCTGGATTCTTCAGCACGAGCTGGAGTTGGAACAGAACAATTTCTCCTTGCTTCCTATCAGCCTCTCCTGGCACGGCCCCGAAGCCTGTTATCAGCGGTGCCCAGTGCATCGGTTTTCAAAAACTTGCAAAATCTGTTCGGGCCTGTTTTGCTTCCAGACGAATCCACTTCCCCTTTCAGGAAATAATGCAAAGAGAAAAGAAGGTTTTCTCCACCAAGTCTCAATTTACCTGGTTGTAGAAAGCTTTACAGAGTGAAAACTTAAGGCTTTCGCTACCCGAAAAACGTCAGCCTTAAAATCTGAGACCTGGCCCAGAGGGAATTTTGCTTCTGTAAACAAACACTTTATTGCACCAGATAATGGGGTCCGCCCGATCTCTATGTCATCGCAGTTCATTTTCCCCCAACCCAGCGTCCACTGCGCCTCAGACTACAATTCCCATCAGTTGGCCAGGTTGGAGAAGAGGCAAGTGGTAGCTGTGTGAGGTGGGTGCTCACACCAAAAGGCTGCTTGGAATTGAAAACACCTTTGAAAACAGAGTCCAGAAGACAGGAAGCGCAGCGTGCACGCTCGGTGTCAAGCCACACCCGGGGAAATGATACGTCCGGGAAAGGCGGGTGTGTCTGTGTGCAAATCAGGGCAGAGACCTGAATGCTGACCTGCTTAGCACGCTCCTCCGAAGCATTACTCTTCCAGCTTTGCAAATTTTCTTCTGGAGGGAGGATCCAGCCTGCAAGCACGGTGCGGGCAATGAGCTGTGGGAAAGAGGCCATCCATTCTAGTCAAGCATCAAGCAAACTTGCCTTCTTTGGCGACGGGTCTGCAGCTCAGGTAAATGTCTGTCCAGAGGCTGTTTTTGGAAGACGTGCCCTTTTGGAAAAGGTGGGTAATGAGCTTGTAATGGAAAATAACCACCTCTGTGCTCCTGGGCTGATGCCTTTAATCTGGCACCGTCCATTTCCAACCCAAAGCAGGCTGTTCCTGGAAAATGAATTGCCTCCTTTTGGCTGGCGTAACCCCTGAACGGAGTCCTCTCTTGGCCTCCTCCTCTCCTGAAATTAAACGGAGGCCCTTCCCCAGCGTATCCGATCCCCCAGCGCAGGTAAATGAGGGTCTTGAAGCTTGCAGGCCACGATCCGGACTTGAAATGCAGCTCCCTTTCGCTGGTTGCGGGAATTCCTGCTCCTGGTTTTCCTACAGCACGTCAGAAACGTGCTGCATTCAGACAACATGCAGGGTTTGTTAGCATCCTCCCTGCTGAATCATGCATAATGCATTTCCGGATCATGTGGTGAACGTATCGTCAATCTAACTAGGTTTATTGGACAAGGCAGCTCCTTTTCTGCTCTTGTATCCCTTCGTTCTTCAGCCTGTTTCCCTAATGAATCTACATGGGTCTTCCCCATTTAGGGGCACTCTGTGATTGGCACAGACTGGCATTTTTTTGCTGCTGCTGACACAAACCCCAGTGAGATCCTCTGCACTGGCCCCCTGATGCTTTCTGAGACAAACAAGTGTCTGTTTCCTTCTCAAGATGGATAGCTGAGAAGATGCGAAGTGAGGAAACCATCACAGCAAGAAAGAGGGCGAAAAGAGGGGGCCCATAGCGTCCTCAAGAGTCTAGGAGAACTTCCTTTCTGCCCTTGCACCATCGTTCTTCTTCCAACTCAATGCCCTGAGGGCAGGAAGTTGCAAAGGGGCGGCATTTTCTGCTCATCTACCTGGTGCCACTGCGGGCACCAGGCTGCCCGTCATTCAGATCAGCCCTCTTGGTCTCTGTTGTTTCCACGTGGAAGGTAATTAGGAAATGTAAGTCTCTGAGATGGGCCTGCCTTTCTCCCGAGAGCTAATTGAAGCTGCTGGTGGCTGTGATCTCTCCCAAACAAATCTCCCACCGTCAGCAGCTTTGCTCCCCTTCTGTCCCACCAGGCCCATGAAGAATTTGGTCCCGTTCCAGCTAAAAATGAGAAGCGCTGCAGTCACTGAAGCTGCGTTCTTCTCCTTCTTTGTGTATCAGTCCCTGCAACACGCAAGAGGCCGAGGAGTAGAAGACCCCCGAAGTCCCTTCCAACCCCATGACTCGAAGTGGGAAAGAGAGATTGCAGAAGTGAAGATTTGCTGGTTTCATTAGGCGGCACCAACCCAACTTGGCCGATCTGCAGAAAGCACGCCGGATCAGGTACAGACAGGGAAGCACCAGGAAATCTCCCAGATGCAAGGTAGAGCTGGGAACAGGCCAACTTAAAGGAGACATACGTACCTACAGGCTCACGTTGGAGTTTGAGACCACAGATGCATGAGAAAGCGAAGCTGAAGGGAAAATCCTGGGAGACTTAATGCAGGAACGGGACCACAGGACAACTAAATTAGGTTAGACCCGGGCTGAACAGCCTTAGGAAGACCACCAGATTGCCCAGAGGTAATTCTACTCTGCGCCACAACAGAAGCACTAGCAGTAGCAGAAATAATAATTTCAGCCTCCCTCCCTCTCCGCGCATAGGGCAAAGCCGATGCACCGTGCTGATCTCTAATCTGCAGGGCTCTTAGCGTGACCGTGCAAGGCCTGAAATGAAACCCTTCTCTTTCCAGCCGCGCGGAAGCCCAACGTTGAAAAATAAAATAAATAAAATAAAATAAAATACGCCTTAACGGGTGGACGTGCCCACCCTCGCCCCTCCTTTTCCTTCAGGACGTGGAAGCTCACCTGGACACCCAAAGCCCCAAGCGCAGCACGTCCTGGCCCTGGGTCCAAACCATGAGCAGGTGGGGATGGAGGGGCCGGATTCAAAAGCCACGTCTGATGCACTTTGGACGGCGGTGTGGGTCTGACCCCCGGGGTAGAGAGAGAGAGAGAGAGAGAGAGAGAGAGAGAG